TTTGGCATTCTCACTTAAAGCTACACAACAGACAAAATCAAAACCCCACAACATAGGCTTGGATAGAGATATTTCTTTTTCTTTCTTTCTTTTTCATGGGATTCTAATTTAAACCAAAAATCATAATTAATTCTACTTTTCTTTTTCCTACTCAAAAGTCCATTTTAATCTTCCAACTTTTATAAATAATATATCTATATCTATCTTAAAAGATTTTTTTTAGTATAACAGYATAACATGTGCGATGGGAGGGGACCGATTCACAACCTCTGCTTTGACAAAAGATAAAATGAGATTAAATTTTCTTTTTGAATTTTAGTAATACAGAAATAAAAAATTATGGGGGTTTTCGAAAATATTTAATAACTTGAAAGAAATTTAAATTGTTTTTCGTTTGTTTGTTGTTCCTCCCAAATTCCAGGTTGTAAAGAGCCCACAAAAAAAATACATTGGGCTTTAGGGGCTTTGAGTTGGTCCATCCCGTCTTTTTTCAATGCATAATAATTATATTTGGGCCGCGGCCCGTTTTATTGTTTATTTTCCCCCCATCGGGGCCCCATAATTTCATCTGTTTCAATATTGAGAAGATGTCCCTAATTTTGAGTCCATTCTTCATTCTGTCTTTCATAGCTCGTTCCATTCCAATGAATGGAGAGTAAGATGTAGGATTGACAATCAATGTTCTCTTGGAGAAGAAGAGAGGTAACCTAAGATTCAAAAGCCACTTTATAAAGCCTTCCTCCCTTGAACTCAAAGATAAAACCCATTTTTAAATAGGTCTGTACATAAAATTTTGTTAGCGAAAAATTGTTGTATTATTAAATTATTGTTTTATTAACATATTTAGACACACAAGTCAAAACAAGTCATATTCGAGTGGTATTCTCATATATCCAAATATATTAATAAACCCATTTTTATTGACAAATTAGATTTGTGTAAACAAAATAACTTAAAAAACAAAAAGCAAACGAACAAACGCACACCTCCCAAAATTTTGACTTCCCCTCTTCCCTCACAGTCGTTGTGTTTGAGCTCTGACCCCAAAATTAGGCTGTCGAGTTGGAACTGGAAGGCAATTTTTGACTGAGTATTTTTTTTCTTTTAATATAATTTTTTTTGGTAATATATTCAGCAGATGTACTCACCAGCATTAATTTTAATATTGAACAGAATTCTCGTTGTCCCTCATTAGCATCACATGTATGGTTTTTATATGATTTCTCGTTTTTCTTATAGTTCGTAATCAAGATTAAAAAAACATAAATTTTAATTCCTTTAAAATAATGGTTGTCTGTCGCGTGGATCACGAGGTTAAAAAAAAAATACTAAAATTGATGAATTGAAAATGTAAAAACTTATACAAAAAGTCTCATCAAGAATTTTCTTTTCTTTTAAAAATTGGTCAGTGAAATCTGCTAAGGGAAAAGCGGGTTGAACCCGTTTACCCGATCGGGTCGTTTTCGTCAACCACCTTACCAACCACATAACGGCGGTGGTAGGTTGGCGTCAGCCGTCATTGGTGGGTGAATTGAGCCTCTTTATTTATTACCCCCAAAATTTAATATCAACCATTTTCTTCAATCCAATGAAAAACTTTTTTTTTCAATATATTTCCATTAAGAAAAGTTTAATTGATTTGAATGAAGATTAATTGAAAGAGCCTATAATCAATTCGATAGAACTTTTAAAAATTACAAAAAAGAAAAAAACATATCCTTGAACATTTCCCTTTATTTTAAAAATATCAAATATCTTTTAAAAACTATAATACTACCTTCCGCCTATCATAAACGTTTCAGAAAATACTTGTTCAACAAATATCTATAAATATTTTAAACAAAAAATTGACRTAAGAATTATGTGACAATTAACATCCAAACCACATTTYCTATCTCTTATTTTCGCCCCATTGTTAAGTGTCACATCGTTCTAAATACTGCCACATCAATTTTTGGTTCAGAATCTTAATCTATGTTTGCTTAAAATATACATTTGAAACATTCATAAAAGTAGACTAAGTATTTAAACTTCTGAAATGATTCTTTTTTAAACAAATGACAAAATTTAGGGTTTTTTTTTTAATCTGGACTTTTAAAGAAAAACACTTGATGTACAATTATGTGTTTATGAAGCATGAATTAAAAATTTCTGGATTTATATAATTTATATTTAGAAATGAATTGTATAAAATTTAATTTATATATTTTGTATATTRTTAAGTTTTCCTTTGTGTAATATTGTTGGATTTGTGGATAATATTCATTGTATTTAATAATTTGWTGCTATTCAATCTGGTTGTATTTCATGAACCAATTACTCTAGGAGTGGGCCAAAATTTGAAAAAAAAATCATAAATTAGTGGACGCACCGAAAAGACGGGATAAGACAAGGCGGTGGAAGTTAGTGGCAAAATTGAAAAGTATAATCTAACATGTTAATAGGGTGGGGGCAATTTGTGTTGTGGTAAAAACTTTCGTTCCGCTTTTATTTATTACCAATCACGTAAATAATTAAAAATAATGCAGTCAAATTTTATTTGACCCATATGATTTGAATTTGATTTTAATTTTATCCTTATTGTTTTAAAAATTATGGTGAGATCCATACATCAATCTTATAAACTATTTTTTACCCTCTCAAAAATTCACTCATTTTCTTATATTTTTATCTTAAGATATAAACGTAACCCTATCAATATTTGACATGTAAATAGGTTACGTGTCATGTATTCAAATTATAATTAAAATTTAAAAACTATAAAGATCGAATAAAAAAAAAGTTTAAACTAGATAATAAGTTATAAAAACCAAATTTACCATATAACAAATAAAATAATATATCAATCATTTACGGTGCGATAGTAATAATATATATATATATATATATATATATWTWTTTTTTATTATTATTATTATTATTATTTTTTACGGTGAAATTGAGTGCACCGGAAAGAAATTCGTGGACTGTAAGGTGGACATGTATGCAAACTTAACCAGGTGACACGCTTTGCCATTTGGCTCATAAAAATCATTCTTCTATTATGACGGATTTAACCCTTTACCAAACTAAATTTAAATACAAATTTATTTTTCTATTTTCTTATAGAAGCATTTATGATATGTATACTTTTTACTCTGAATTTTTTATTTTAGTCGAGCGTGTATATTAAAATAAAACGTCAAAATATATAATGGAATTATATATATATATATATATATATATATATATATATATATATTTTTATAGTAGAATATCTGAGGTGAAAAATCGAACTTACGATCTTTTGATTGAAGATATATGTCAATTACTACTAAGTAATGTTCGTTTTGACATATATATAATAGAATTATGATGTGATGTTAAAAGTAGGAGTATATATTCTAAAAAAGTCTCTACATTTGGAGCTTAAAAATCCATCCCTATAGAATATAAATTAATTTATGAATATATTCATGAATAATTGAAGAGTGGAACACCCATTTACATAAAATAGTAAATAAAATTAAAAACTCAACTCATATGCTCGCTTTACCTAGCTTGAACTTCACATTTTGAGCAAAGCACTAAATGTTTTTAAGATAAGAAAACGAGAGGAGGGAATTTAGATCAATGAAAAGAGATACATGAGCATATTGTGTTTTGAAAAACAAATAGGGAAAAGAAAGGAAACACGAAACTACTTTGTGCTGAACGTTTGATAAATAAGAGATAGAAATGAAAAAGATTATAATTTCTTTTTGAAAATTATGAGTTGTCAAATGTTAAATAGTGGTATACAACCTCACCGATAAGAATGAAGTATTTTCTTTCAAAGAAAATGAGAATTTAATTGTGTTGTGGGTAATAAAATCGACCACCATGCAATTCAACTACCTCCACCTGACATCCACATGCAAGGCATTCGATGAATCATATCTACAAAGGAGGTTGGTACTACCTAACTTGTGGAAGAGGTGGATGTGTGRGATTCAAACTCAAGTCATAGACAGGTGTTATCCAAGTTCATCTTGACCCAGGTTTCAAATGTCGACGTAAATAGATATTTCTAAAAAAAGTTGTAAAACTAAAAAACTCAAAAAAAAAAATTATTTAAATTAATAAGTAATCATTTCACTATTTTTAAATAGGTTAAAAATGATAATATAAATATTATATCTATATTAGTGAAATTTTGTTGATATTTTTTATATTTTGTAATTTTTTTTTAAAGATTATGGAAATGGCTATGAATATTGATTACATGATTTTGACAGCAAATTATTAACGTGAGAAACGAAAAGAAAAGCATAAAGTAAAAAAAATTTAGAATAAGGTCAAAATGCGAAATATTGAGATGTGATTTTCCATTTCATCTTCATTCAAACGCATATTTAAACACTGCATCGCTCTGCCTCTCCCTCTCCACCTTGGCCGAATAGCTTCTGTAATGGCCGCTTCCTCTCCACCTAAACCTTCGATCTCCACCATAAATTTACATTCCAATTCTCCAAACAACCCATCTGCTTTCTCAACAAATCGACCCACTCTAAAATTTCGGACCCGTTCGGCATTTCAATCAACAACCCTGCGGACCAAATGGGGGAATCAATCGGGGTCGAGAACAGGATCGGCGGTGGTGCGATGCACGGCGGAGGGGATGGAGAGAAGCATACCATTCGGCCGGAGAGCAATCGGATCCGCCGCCGACGAGCAAGCCGCCGGAATCGGAGTCGGCTTGCCGGAGAGGTTTAAGGTTGTGGCGTTAACCGCATTCGTGATGTGTCTGTGTAATGCGGACAGAGTGGTGATGTCGGTGGCGATTGTTCCTCTCGCTGCCAAATATGGGTGGTCCAGTTCCTTCCTCGGCGTCGTTCAGGTGAGAAAAACCAAAACCCTTCTCTTATTCAACCAATAATAGGCCAAATATTTGTATCGAACCCTATGATTTGATTTCTGAGAACAGGTGGCTGGGATTTGTTTTTTATTGTAATGCTTTTTTGAGGTCTGTGATTTCTGGCCTAATGGGTTGTGGTATTGCGAAAACTGCGGCGACGGAGTTTGGTTGTAAAGTATGAGGATGCGGGCGGCGCGGCAGAAAACGCCGCCACGTTCTTAGAATTTCAGTAACAGGAAGAGGAAGGAGACTGCTTACCGGTTACCCTTACCGACTCTTTCAGTTGTGGTCTGGCCCACAGGAACCTTTCATTTGCCCATTTTGGACCTTCTTTCAATTCTAGGCCCAACCAAACCCCAATAATATAAATGTTATAATTGGGGAGGAAAAGAAAATCAACCCCACCCAACCGAAGTCGGTTTAAATAAATGAAAACTTTGTGGGTTAAATAAGTTAGGGTTGAATTGGAACACTAGAACTTATTATTAATTTAATTTTATCTTTTTAAATTTACAATCTGAACAATTAGGTGGGATCTTTATTCTGAACTTTTGTGGTATCTAACTCACAACTTCTTAGTTGGTCATATACATCAATTACTATTGAGTTATGCTCGTTTTGACTAAGTTTTGGAATTTATTATAAACTTTCAAGCGTGGAGAGCCAAAGTGAGCATAGCTCAGCGGTAATTGGCATATACCTCCAACCATGAGGTTGTGAGTTCGGTCTCCAAAAACTATCTTGTAATCATCTTAAGTTGGCTTAGTGGTCGTTGGGACCAATAAAAAATGTAAAGGATTTGGGGAATGAGCTTAAATCATGGTGGCCACCTATTTAAACGCTAGAAATGCGAGCTTCATGGATAACCAAACCCAATGAGGTTAGGTAATTGTTTAAAAAAACATAAAGTTCATGAATCAAATTTGTAATTTAACTCAAAAAAATTGATTGTATTTTGTTTTTCTTGTGTGTGTGTGTGGATATTTGAAGCTGAATTTAGGGTTGTTTTGTTGAAGTCATCGTTTCTATGGGGATACATATTGTCGTCGGTGGTTGGAGGAGCGTTGGTGGACAGATATGGAGGAAAGCGAGTGATGGCTTGGGGAGTGGCCTTGTGGTCTCTTGCCACTCTTCTTACTCCATTGGCAGCCAACCACTCAACAACCACTCTCTTGGCCGTTCGTGCCTTCTTTGGCCTCGCTGAGGGCGTCGCTATGCCTTCCATGACCACGCTCTTGTCAAGGTCCCAACCATTAAAAAAAAAAAACCATTTTTTCTAATCCGATTTACCACCCCCACTTCAATTCTCCAACTTTAACTTTGAAATTTGGTTGTTTTGTTGAACCAGGTGGTTTCCCAGCCATGAACGAGCCAGTGCAGTTGGTATGTCAATGGCTGGTTTTCATCTTGGCAATGTTGTAGGATTGCTATTGACTCCTGTTATGCTGTCGTCCCTTGGTGTCACTGGTCCCTTCTTGCTATTCTCGTCTCTTGGGCTTCTCTGGCTGATGTCGTGGATTCCTGGTGTTACAAATAACCCGAGACAGAGTCGAAGTATTAGCATAACGGAACTGCGATTGATCGAAGCTGGGAAAGCCGATTCTTCTAGTCGTAATGGCGAGCACCTGCCTCTTAGCTCTCTTCTTTCCAAGTTACCAACGTGGGCTATTATATTTGCCAATATGACTAATAATTGGGTGAGTGATTGTTTGTTTGAATTGAGGAACTGGGAATTTGGATAATGCTGATTCAAATCTTAACTCTTGGAGTTGCTGGTTTGTGTTACAGGGATACTTTGTTCTTCTCTCGTGGATGCCGGTTTATTTCAAGACAGTAAGTAACCACCCGATCATTTAACATGAAAAAGTATTGAAATTAAGTGAAGTTGTAATGAACTTGTCTACTTGTTGGGTTGATGTAGGTGTTTAATGTGAACTTGAAGCAAGCAGCATGGTTTAGCGCCATTCCATGGGGAACAATGGCGGTTTCTGGCTACTTCGCGGGCTCGGTATCAGATGCACTAATCAAAGCAGGCTACCCCGTGACATTAGTCCGGAAGGTCATGCAGGTTTTTGCTCTTTCAAATTCATGGTCTGATTACAATAGTGATACAACAAAATGTATGCAAAACTGTTCTCTGTTGGATCACTAACCAGAGACATTGGTTCTTTCCAACAGTCTATCGGGTTCATCGGACCTGGCTTAGCATTACTTTGTTTAAATTTTGCGACAACGCCAACGGTTGCAGCGGTTTTGTTGACAGTAGCATTGAGCTTGAGCTCGTTCAGCCAAGCCGGCTTTCTCCTCAATATACAAGTATACCTTTTTCTTTGTACCCTTCACAAGTACTGATTGTAAACTGTAATGACTCGACTTCAAACTGATTATCACTCTTCATTTGTTTTTGGTTCAATCAGGACATAGCGCCTCAACATGCAGGATTTCTCCATGGTATGCTTTTTTTTATTCTAAGAAGATAAGAAATTTCTCAGTGAGGAAACTTGGGATCACCAAACTTTTGCTGAACTTGCAGGAATATCAAACTCAGCAGGGACATTAGCAGCAATTATGAGCACAATTGGAACTGGTTATTTTGTACAGTGGCTTGGCTCCTTCCAGGCATTCTTGACTGTTACAGCATTGATTTACTTCATGGCAGCCATTTTCTGGAACGTTTTCGCTACCGGGGAGCGGGTCTTTTAGGCTCATCTGTTTCAAAACCTGAGGAAGAAGAGAAGGAAGAAGAGATTCAGTGGCTGATTTTGTTCGGGGCTCTATACTAATTTAACAAGTAATTCCAATAATTCATAAAAATTAATAAATGAAAATATAATTCATCACTATCAACCTCGAGTTTTCAGATAATGAAATCTTTGCCTAATAACTTCATTTTATATTTTATCAATTAAATTTTTTTCAATGACTAGAGTTGTATAAAAAAGAAAAATGGCTCTTTAGATGTCTATCACATGACAATTTTATTTTATAGTACCAATTTTTAGAACTATATATTTAAAATAACATAAAATTACAATGTTAAGTTAAGAAACGGTAACACGTATCAGACGATTAATTTTCAAATTGCCAACTCCTTTATACTCTACAAAATTCAAGTTAAAAAAATATATAACAATAAAATCTTGAGAATGATGATTTAAAGAAAAGAGAAAAATATCGAAAATTCAAGTTAAAAAAAATATGATAACGATCAAATATTGAGAATGATTATTTAAAGAAAAGAGAAAAATATATCTATAGGTGGTGGCTATACCTTTTAAAATTAGGGTTTATATATAAAAAAGAAAATTTTTCATTTTTCATTTTTTTCCTCATACTTTTAATAATTATATGAATTTTAGAAAAAATTGATTGAAAATTTTCCCTTCTTTTAACAAGAATAATAAGAACAGCATTTACAAAAAATCTGAGAACAAATACGTATTAAATAAAAAATCTGTGACCAAAAGGCCTCAGGCCCGCAAGGATCAGGGGCTGAGGCACGCAGCTACCACTATACCAAGGAAATCAATGTGGACTAACTAGATTTGACCTCCTCCGATCCTGAACTTTCCTTCCCCTAACGGATAACAATTGGGAGGAAGATGATCAGGATCTCACGCGTGGCAGTTGTTGGAACAAATTCAGAATCCAAGAAGTACCTAAAGAAAAAGGAAACTCACCACTCACTAGTGAAAGAGGAGAAAAGATAGTTGAAGGCCTCGAGTCGGAGTCCCAAGCCCCACCCTCGATTCTCGAGATTCATGGGCCGAATCCCCCACTCCGATTAGTTCTTCTTTTTGCCATTTTATTTATATTTTTTCAATTTATTTCATATATATAAAACAAAAATTTGTACACTCCTATGGTTAAAAGAATCTGTCATGTAGTAAATTTAGAATCAGGAATGAGATTCTCTTGCTGTAAGACGTTGAATGTGATTACATGTTTTAATTTTAATAAAAATGAAATGAATTTATAACATGAAATAGTATATTTATCAAAATTTTTATTTATTTAATGTAGTTCTACATTTTAAAGTTTCAAATCAATATTTAAAAATACTCCAAACATCATCATAATAATGTTTTCATAGAATTTTCAACATCCCAAAATGGTTTTAAAAAACAAATCTTCGAACGGTATCTAAGATAAATCAAACAAATGTTTTAAAATTTTGTTCAGAATTATATTCATCTACTACAGTCGTACATTAATCGAGGAAAATGAATATTTCAAAATTTTCAATTGATAGAAAGATCTCGTTCTGAATTTAAATTGCATTCTATATTTTTGTTTTCGTACTCATTTTGGGAATTATGAGAGAGAGAGAAAGAGTGGGCTCAACTATCTACGATCCCAAATTGCCCACAGCAAATCCAATCTGAACCCGCCTTCAAAAAAGATCCAATCTAAACCCTAGATTTGCATTTTGAAAGATCCGAGGCCCAAAACATTTTGCCGACATTTCGCATCATGGATTCAATTCAAAGTTCAAACCTCCGAAAATTTATGGCCTCAAGAGTTTCATAGTCGTACTTATGAATAAGGTTCATAATTTCATTGTTTGCGTTGCGTGTGTGAATTGAACGAGACACCATAACCCACCTTCGATTTTCCCACCAGCACGACGGACCAAGCACTCGGGTCGAATAAATCCATGTAGCTAGAGTTGGGGATTGAAAAAGCTGCGAAAATTTTCCATTGACGAAGTCGAGGAACGATTAGGTTTTCAAGAGCGATCGTCTGAACTCCAATTTCTGACTCTGATTTGAAATTCTTCATCAGGGTTTTTGAAGCCGTAAGAATCAATTTCCGAATTTCAGTTTTCATCTCTAAATTTATGAATTTCAGAAGTTTAGATGAGTTCTGGGTCTTCTACATGAACCAGCACTCCAAACCATCGACGAGACGTTGGCACTTTATCGGAACTCTTTCTGCTATCTTCTTCTTCCTATGCTCGCTACTGTTTAGCTGGTGGTTTCTGTTCTTTGTGCCATTATTTGGGTATGGATTCGCGTGGTACAGCCATTTCTTCGTCGAGGAGAATGTTCCAGCCTCGTTCGGCCATCCATTTTGGTCTCTTCTATGTGATTTCAAGATGTTCGGATTGATGCTTACTGGGAACATGGACAGAGAAATAAAGAGGCTGGGAAAAAGACCTGTGTTGCAGGCGTTCTAATTCTAATGTAAGCTTCTTCTCCATTCTGCCCATCATTTTCTTGTTTGTGGTTCTGAAAGATTTATTCAAGCATGCCTATTGAGAATTTGCTCTATTTTCTTTGGAATGGATTGTATCTGTGCAGTTCTATAGTGGTTTTATGAGTTCAGTAATCGATATTTGTAGTTTCATTCTTTAAAATTGAGGAACAATGAGTTGGTTTTATTAGGAAAATGCTCTATTAACAAGTTTATCTATGGAGGATGGATCGACCAACTCTTCTAAAAGCCATACATGATAGAAGAGAGTCTAATCTATACTTATGCATCACTTGAAGACTATGTCCTAGAATGCATTCTCGAAACTTACTTGATATGGGTCTGTTTTCTTTTGAAGTTTCGGCAGAATCGGTTCATTTATCCTACACCATTTTCTATTGACAACAGTTTAGTTTGTAGCCTGTATCCTATTTTCTAGCTTGAAAATATTGACGTCAAGTCCAGAACTGAAGTCCATTTAATTTGAAGAAACTTTAGTAGCTCTCTTTTTCTGAAAACTTTCATTACTCTGTGAAAGTGTTATTTTCATTAATTGAAATGAAGCTGTACAAGGAAGTCTTTAGAATAGACAACTCGCAGCTACTAAACTGCTTTAACACACTTAACTACAATTTTCAACTAATTAATAACAGTAAACCTAGCTGCTTAACAATACATGGCTAACATTTTCAAACGAAGATTTAAGTAATTCCACTCTCAGCTGCAGAATTTTCCTGATCCCTGCTTCATGAATAAACTGATATGTTCATCATTTTCATCTGACAGAAGTTCGTCTGATAAGGATTACCACATTGTTTTTGCTTCCCTGTTGGAGAATCAACCCACCCCCGGATTGGCTGCTCCAGCCACAGTTCGCCGTTTGAGTCACTTCCCGCAGCTCTGCTATGTGTTGGATGCTTCTTTCGCTGCTTTGGATGGTTTGAAGCCATTTTCTCCTCCTCAAGCTTAGAATTCTCTGCAGAGCAGCATACTCATGTTGGGCTCTGCTTTATTTGGAAAATATAACCAGTTAGCAGAACTGTTTGGAAGGCTCCTTGATGCTCTGTTATGCAATATACTTCCAGATTTGATGCTCAAACTGGCTTACAAACGGCAGTGCATCTAGTGGTATTCTGTAAAAACTGGTATTTATGTTTATGTTGTTCTATGAAGTGCATAAACAAATTTATACTTATTTCTAATATGCTTTTTTTTTTGGAAACCAATTCACAAACAAAAATTTGCGTGATTCTCTTAGATTATTACAAAGTTCGAATGAAACAAAAGTTAGGTATTTAGGAGCCTGCATGCACTTAAGCCAGATGTATTCTAGACTTGGAAAAGTAACAAAAGCTCTGAAATTTTCTATGTGAAAGTTCCCAGATCTGTTCCATTAGAGAATTATGATCACTGCCACTGCGTTACTGATACGTGACAGACAGTACATAGAGACTTACACAAGTCCATCCACATCCACATTCACTATTGTTTTTTTTAGTTAACTTTTTCGGTTTGGATCCTTAGCCCAATGGCAACAATGATGCTACATGTTGCCTGAGGAGGGCCACATGTTAAAAAAAGAAAAATCAATGATTCAAAAAGTATCACCTAATCTTTGAATTGAACCATAAATTTGTTTCAATTGTTAGCAGTTTATTTTAACCAAGTTTGGTACATAATCTCTCTACATTAGTTTGATGAGTATTGAATGAGTATTGATTCTCTTCAATTAATTTCATACCAAACTTGAGTTATGGATACAATCCCAACTCGGCCCTACCATAATTGTTCTCGTTTCTGATTTCTGTAGTCACGGCTTTGATTTCTGTGATAGCTTCTCTCAGATGAGAAGATAGATCCGAGTTTTAATGAAAACCATTCCATAAAATTAGTGAAGACAAATCAGGCAGAGATCAGAATCCTTGAACCCATCACTCATGGGTTCGGATCAGGCTCTGTTCCGCAACAGCCTCCTCGCCCTGTACCTCATCGGACCGCCGACCGCCGTCGCCCTGAGGTTCCTTCAGGCGCCGTACGGGAAGCACAACCGGCCGGGGTGGGGGCCGACTATGTCCGCGCCCTTGGCCTGGTTCCTGATGGAGAGCCCCACCCTGTGGCTCACCCTCCTCCTCTTCCCCTTCGGCGATCACTCCTCCGAGCCCAAGCCGATCCTTCTCATCTCCCCCTTCCTCCTCCACTACCTCCATCGCACCTGCCTCTACCCAATTCGGCTTCTCCGGCAACGGAATTCCGCCGCGGGTTTCCCGGTGGCGGTGGCGCTCATGGCATTCGGGTTCAATGTGCTGAATTCTTACCTGCAAACCAGATCGGTGTCTCACTACAAGAGCTACGAGGGAGACGGGTGGTTTTGGTGGCGGTTTTCCGTTGGGGCGGTGGTTTTTGCGACGGGGATGGGAGTGAATATTTGGTCGGACGGTGTTTTGGTAGGACTGAAGAGGGCCGGCGGCGGGTATAAACTGCCGACGGGAGGGTGGTTTGAGTTGGTGAGTTGCCCTAATTACTTGGGGGAGGTGGTGGAGTGGCTGGGCTGGGCCGTGATGTGCTGGTCCTGGGCCGGGCTTGGGTTTTTCCTTTACACGTGTGCCAACTTGGTGCCTAGGGCACGTGCGAACCACACGTGGTATCTGAACAAGTTTGGGGAGGATTATCCCACGACTAGGAAGGCCATTATTCCCTTCTTGTATTGAGAATGTACCAAAGTGGGAATTAAAATACCCCTGTAAAATTTTATATTATATCTATATGGAAATTTAAAGAAAATTTCTCTTCTTTTGACCTATTACTTTAAATTTATATTTGATTCAATTATCKATTAATTTTAATTTAGTCTTTAAAATTTAAAAAGTTTAAATTTGGTTTATATGGTTCAGTCTAGCTTTGTAAATAGTTCATAATACCTACTCAAAATTTACTTATTTATTTTTAGTTTGTATTTAATTTAAAACGAACGCAGTTAGCTAACTCGATAAATCAAAGTAAAAACATTAATTTTTACCATGCATTTTCCATTTTTTAGTTCAAACAACACCTGAAATTTAAACTCCTAGCCATCCCATAAGACAATAACTTGAAACAAAAAAGAAGGTTTAGACCAAATTATATCGGTTAAGTTAAAAGCATTGAGACTAAATTGAAATTAAGTTCTAGATAGATAAAATTGAAACGATTAGAATTATCAGATCAAACCGTAAATATTAACTTTAATTTTTATAATTAATATTGAAAATGAAATAGTATTTTGTATAATTCCGTAAAATATCATGTCAAATTTTATATTTTTACCGTCTTGAAATTTTAATTTTTTTAGTACAACATGCGGAGATGAAGTTCGAATCAACAAAATTTTAATCGGGTATATGTATTTTATTTTAACTAGTTTATCCATGTTAAAAAATTTTATTATCTTAATTTAGGGGTTTTCCCATTAAAAATAAAATGTGGAAGAGTGTGGAGTTGCACTTAAATATTTGAAATTCAATTGGTCTAAACGGGCACTCAACATTTTAGGATCAGGTGGCTGTCCCGTGAAATTAAAGTATAGGCTAAGTTGGCTCGGATGATGAATAGGAAAAAAAAAAACTTAAAATGCCAAAAATATGCACAGTGTGATTTAACTAAAAAAAATGTTCGGTAAAGAAAAAAAAAATCAATTTATCCTAATAGTTCAGGCGGGCACCGGACCGGCCACTATCTTCTGTCTTCTCCATGGATAATATGGCGGAGAAGCCTCAAGATGGTGAGCTTCGCTTTCTTCTTCCTTCTTATGGTTGCTATTCTCTTTCTTTATCTGCCTGTATTCGCTGTTTCCATTTTAAGTTTATTGTCTGCTTTTTCTGTTTGTTTGTTCATCTTGTAGTGGCAATTCTTGAGCAATTGAAACAGGGAATTGCTCGATTTGAGCTCGTGTCTTCGCCTGTAAGTTCAATTTCATCTTCGGAATCAGTTACTCGTTCTTTCCCTTTTTCTCTGAATGGCGGTCACCCACTCTTTGCTAAGATTGGACCAGTGCTGTAAGTTCATTTATTCTTGGGGAGAGTTTTTGGACTCCGTTGTTTTCCGAAGTCATGAATTGCTGCTATTTTTACGGGCAGTGGATCGCCAGCATTGAGGAAAGCTGAGCACTATACGGTCCAAAAAGTTACTGGAGATGGGCGCTGTCTCTTCCGTGCGCTTGTAACTTCCCCTCACTAATTTATCTCCGTTGTTTTGTTCAACTTCAACTTGTTTTGCGATTGAATCTGTTTATTCTAATTCACATTTCAAATGATCTCATGGTGGATTTAATTTGCTTCAATTTCTTTTTAACCTCCTTGGCTTCACCATTTTGAAACCTATAGTTGTTTCTATACAACACCTGTATCTCTTATCTTGCTTTCAGTTGTAGAGACAGTACTTCCTTGGCTTCTAAACTAACTTCCTTTGAACAAAATCAGGCCAAAGGAATGGCTTCCAACAGGGGGATTCCTCTTCGTCCATTTGAGGAGAAAAATGATGCAGGTAATCCCTGATATATATCACCTTCTAATTGTAGACATTTAGCCCTGGATAATTGAGTGTGGAACATATTCTTCACCTTGATTGAACAAGTGGAAAGATTGTGCAAATATTCTCTTTACTATATCAATCAAATATTTTGGGTAGGTGCTCCAATGGCCTATTATGCATGCCTTGAACATCAAATCTGAAGGTTAGAAAGATTTTTATATTGGATTTGATGGTTAGTGTGTTTTTGTGCAATTCACACTCGTTACCTTGATGAGTGAGTTGTAGCACAAAAATATAATATATTGACCTTATTACTTGAACAACAGAAGACGTATGGGACCGTGAGCATCTCTCCTATTACTAATAGGTTTTCAAGTTCTTTCAGAATCATATATGATTGTACTGCTCAGGAGGTTACGTTTGATTGACCTAAAGTTCAAATTTTCTTTTATGATTGTACTATTGGTGTCCTTTTATCACTCTTGAGTTACCATAGTGCTTACTTTACAATTTGAAGGATATTTTTATGTTCTTACTCACGTGGATCAGATTCAAGATTCTGACCACTTTTAATTTGGTGGTTTGTGAAGTGATCACAAAAATTTTACTCAAAAGTCAAAACTAATTA